CTCAGCCCCGAGCCCGCCCCCAGCCCCGACTCCCACATCATCCCCCAGGGCATCCTGGAGAACGCCATCAAGATCACCAACGAGCCGCCCACGGGCATGCATGCCAACCTGCACAAGGCCCTGGACCTCTTCACCCAGGTGGGCGCTTCCTCCGGTGCCCGTGCCCCACCCCGCCCGTCCCGTCTGAGCCGCCGGGGACCCAGAGCACACGGAGTCGGGGACCCAGAGCACACGGAGTCGGGGACCCAGAGCACACGGAGTCGGGGACCCAGAGCACACGGAGTCGGGGACCCAGAGCACACGGAGTCGGGGACCCAGAGCACACGGAGTCGGGGACCCAGAGCACACGGAGTCGGGGACCCAGAGCACACGGAGTCGGGGACCCAGAGCACACGGAGTCGGGGACCCAGAGCACACGGAGTCGGGGACCCAGAGCACACGGAGTCGGGGACCCAGAGCACACGGAGTCGGGGACCCAGAGCACACGGAGTCGGGGACCCAGAGCACACGGAGTCGGGGACCCAGAGCACACGGAGTCGGGGACCCAGAGCACACGGAGTCGGGGACCCAGAGCACACGGAGTCGGGGACCCAGAGCACACGGAGTCGGGGACCCAGAGCACACGGAGTCGGGGACCCAGAGCACACGGAGTCGGGGACCCAGAGCACACGGAGTCGGGGACCCAGAGCACACGGAGTCGGGGACCCAGAGCACACGGAGTCGGGGACCCAGAGCACACGGAGTCGGGGACCCAGAGCACACGGAGTCGGGGACCCAGAGCACACGGAGTCGGGGACCCAGAGCACACGGAGTCGGGGACCCAGAGCACACGGAGTCGGGGACCCAGAGCACACGGAGTCGGGGACCCAGAGCACACGGAGTCGGGGACCCAGAGCACACGGAGTCGGGGACCCAGAGCACACGGAGTCGGGGACCCAGAGCACACGGAGTCGGGGACCCAGAGCACACGGAGTCGGGGACCCAGAGCACACGGAGTCGGGGACCCAGAGCACACGGAGTCGGGGACCCAGAGCACACGGAGTCGGGGACCCAGAGCACACGGAGTCGGGGACCCAGAGCACACGGAGTCGGGGACCCAGAGCACACGGAGTCGGGGACCCAGAGCACACGGAGTCGGGGACCCAGAGCACACGGAGTCGGGGACCCAGAGCACACGGAGTCGGGGACCCAGAGCACACGGAGTCGGGGACCCAGAGCACACGGAGTCGGGGACCCAGAGCACACGGAGTCGGGGACCCAGAGCACACGGAGTCGGGGACCCAGAGCACACGGAGTCGGGGACCCAGAGCACACGGAGTCGGGGACCCAGAGCACACGGAGTCGGGGACCCAGAGCACACGGAGTCGGGGACCCAGAGCACACGGAGTCGGGGACCCAGAGCACACGGAGTCGGGGACCCAGAGCACACGGAGTCGGGGACCCAGAGCACACGGAGTCGGGGACCCAGAGCACACGGAGTCGGGGACCCAGAGCACACGGAGTCGGGGACCCAGAGCACACGGAGTCGGGGACCCAGAGCACACGGAGTCGGGGACCCAGAGCACACGGAGTCGGGGACCCAGAGCACACGGAGTCGGGGACCCAGAGCACACGGAGTCGGGGACCCAGAGCACACGGAGTCGGGGACCCAGAGCACACGGAGTCGGGGACCCAGAGCACACGGAGTCGGGGACCCAGAGCACACGGAGTCGGGGACCCAGAGCACACGGAGTCGGGGACCCAGAGCACACGGAGTCGGGGACCCAGAGCACACGGAGTCGGGGACCCAGAGCACACGGAGTCGGGGACCCAGAGCACACGGAGTCGGGGACCCAGAGCACACGGAGTCGGGGACCCAGAGCACACGGAGTCGGGGACCCAGAGCACACGGAGTCGGGGACCCAGAGCACACGGAGTCGGGGACCCAGAGCACACGGAGTCGGGGACCCAGAGCACACGGAGTCGGGGACCCAGAGCACACGGAGTCGGGGACCCAGAGCACACGGAGTCGGGGACCCAGAGCACACGGAGTCGGGGACCCAGAGCACACGGAGTCGGGGACCCAGAGCACACGGAGTCGGGGACCCAGAGCACACGGAGTCGGGGACCCAGAGCACACGGAGTCGGGGACCCAGAGCACACGGAGTCGGGGACCCAGAGCACACGGAGTCGGGGACCCAGAGCACACGGAGTCGGGGACCCAGAGCACACGGAGTCGGGGACCCAGAGCACACGGAGTCGGGGACCCAGAGCACACGGAGTCGGGGACCCAGAGCACACGGAGTCGGGGACCCAGAGCACACGGAGTCGGGGACCCAGAGCACACGGAGTCGGGGACCCAGAGCACACGGAGTCGGGGACCCAGAGCACACGGAGTCGGGGACCCAGAGCACACGGAGTCGGGGACCCAGAGCACACGGAGTCGGGGACCCAGAGCACACGGAGTCGGGGACCCAGAGCACACGGAGTCGGGGACCCAGAGCACACGGAGTCGGGGACCCAGAGCACACGGAGTCGGGGACCCAGAGCACACGGAGTCGGGGACCCAGAGCACACGGAGTCGGGGACCCAGAGCACACGGAGTCGGGGACCCAGAGCACACGGAGTCGGGGACCCAGAGCACACGGAGTCGGGGACCCAGAGCACACGGAGTCGGGGACCCAGAGCACACGGAGTCGGGGACCCAGAGCACACGGAGTCGGGGACCCAGAGCACACGGAGTCGGGGACCCAGAGCACACGGAGTCGGGGACCCAGAGCACACGGAGTCGGGGACCCAGAGCACACGGAGTCGGGGACCCAGAGCACACGGAGTCGGGGACCCAGAGCACACGGAGTCGGGGACCCAGAGCACACGGAGTCGGGGACCCAGAGCACACGGAGTCGGGGACCCAGAGCACACGGAGTCGGGGACCCAGAGCACACGGAGTCGGGGACCCAGAGCACACGGAGTCGGGGACCCAGAGCACACGGAGTCGGGGACCCAGAGCACACGGAGTCGGGGACCCAGAGCACACGGAGTCGGGGACCCAGAGCACACGGAGTCGGGGACCCAGAGCACACGGAGTCGGGGACCCAGAGCACACGGAGTCGGGGACCCAGAGCACACGGAGTCGGGGACCCAGAGCACACGGAGTCGGGGACCCAGAGCACACGGAGTCGGGGACCCAGAGCACACGGAGTCGGGGACCCAGAGCACACGGAGTCGGGGACCCAGAGCACACGGAGTCGGGGACCCAGAGCACACGGAGTCGGGGACCCAGAGCACACGGAGTCGGGGACCCAGAGCACACGGAGTCGGGGACCCAGAGCACACGGAGTCGGGGACCCAGAGCACACGGAGTCGGGGACCCAGAGCACACGGAGTCGGGGACCCAGAGCACACGGAGTCGGGGACCCAGAGCACACGGAGTCGGGGACCCAGAGCACACGGAGTCGGGGACCCAGAGCACACGGAGTCGGGGACCCAGAGCACACGGAGTCGGGGACCCAGAGCACACGGAGTCGGGGACCCAGAGCACACGGAGTCGGGGACCCAGAGCACACGGAGTCGGGGACCCAGAGCACACGGAGTCGGGGACCCAGAGCACACGGAGTCGGGGACCCAGAGCACACGGAGTCGGGGACCCAGAGCACACGGAGTCGGGGACCCAGAGCACACGGAGTCGGGGACCCAGAGCACACGGAGTCGGGGACCCAGAGCACACGGAGTCGGGGACCCAGAGCACACGGAGTCGGGGACCCAGAGCACACGGAGTCGGGGACCCAGAGCACACGGAGTCGGGGACCCAGAGCACACGGAGTCGGGGACCCAGAGCACACGGAGTCGGGGACCCAGAGCACACGGAGTCGGGGACCCAGAGCACACGGAGTCGGGGACCCAGAGCACACGGAGTCGGGGACCCAGAGCACACGGAGTCGGGGACCCAGAGCACACGGAGTCGGGGACCCAGAGCACACGGAGTCGGGGACCCAGAGCACACGGAGTCGGGGACCCAGAGCACACGGAGTCGGGGACCCAGAGCACACGGAGTCGGGGACCCAGAGCACACGGAGTCGGGGACCCAGAGCACACGGAGTCGGGGACCCAGAGCACACGGAGTCGGGGACCCAGAGCACACGGAGTCGGGGACCCAGAGCACACGGAGTCGGGGACCCAGAGCACACGGAGTCGGGGACCCAGAGCACACGGAGTCGGGGACCCAGAGCACACGGAGTCGGGGACCCAGAGCACACGGAGTCGGGGACCCAGAGCACACGGAGTCGGGGACCCAGAGCACACGGAGTCGGGGACCCAGAGCACACGGAGTCGGGGACCCAGAGCACACGGAGTCGGGGACCCAGAGCACACGGAGTCGGGGACCCAGAGCACACGGAGTCGGGGACCCAGAGCACACGGAGTCGGGGACCCAGAGCACACGGAGTCGGGGACCCAGAGCACACGGAGTCGGGGACCCAGAGCACACGGAGTCGGGGACCCAGAGCACACGGAGTCGGGGACCCAGAGCACACGGAGTCGGGGACCCAGAGCACACGGAGTCGGGGACCCAGAGCACACGGAGTCGGGGACCCAGAGCACACGGAGTCGGGGACCCAGAGCACACGGAGTCGGGGACCCAGAGCACACGGAGTCGGGGACCCAGAGCACACGGAGTCGGGGACCCAGAGCACACGGAGTCGGGGACCCAGAGCACACGGAGTCGGGGACCCAGAGCACACGGAGTCGGGGACCCAGAGCACACGGAGTCGGGGACCCAGAGCACACGGAGTCGGGGACCCAGAGCACACGGAGTCGGGGACCCAGAGCACACGGAGTCGGGGACCCAGAGCACACGGAGTCGGGGACCCAGAGCACACGGAGTCGGGGACCCAGAGCACACGGAGTCGGGGACCCAGAGCACACGGAGTCGGGGACCCAGAGCACACGGAGTCGGGGACCCAGAGCACACGGAGTCGGGGACCCAGAGCACACGGAGTCGGGGACCCAGAGCACACGGAGTCGGGGACCCAGAGCACACGGAGTCGGGGACCCAGAGCACACGGAGTCGGGGACCCAGAGCACACGGAGTCGGGGACCCAGAGCACACGGAGTCGGGGACCCAGAGCACACGGAGTCGGGGACCCAGAGCACACGGAGTC